GCTTGAATACCAAGGAGGATGGGTAGTCAGTTAGAGTGGGTGGGCTATTCTCCTTTATTTCTGTAGATACAAAAGTTTTCACATCTTTAAAAAAATTCCTAACGTGAGTAAAAGACATTCCCCGTCTTGTGCCGCCCAGGCCAGCAGCACACGGCCTGCGCTTTCCCTGTGCCCAGAGCTGGGCCAGCAGCGCAGCGAGCTCTCCCTGCTCCCTCGCTAGCTCCCCACCTGCTCCTGGCAGCCTGGGCGTCAGAGCTGATATCCAAGAAGAGCCCCTGAGAGGAGCTCACTGACAGCCCACAGCGGTGTCTCCAAGGCCAAGAGCAGAGAGCGCCTGGGCACAGGCGTGGAGCCAGGGACCTGCTCTGCCTAGGCCCTCGTGTGTGGCTGACGTCCTGGCTGTGAAGCCCCACTTTGTTCTGACCCAGTGGCACCAACCAAGCAGCCTCCGGTGTAGGGTTCCATGAGGGTGGAGCTGGTGAGTTTGCCCATACCACGCCTGGCACTGAGGGCGGCCAGGACTGCAGGGAGCACTTTCCTGACTTGGAGGTGCCCACGAGGACTGTTTTCAGCCATTCGAGACCAGTGGAGGCACCTGGCAGGACATCTTCAGGTTGGGGACAGACAGAGGTCTCGCTGCTGTGAGCATGGCATTGCCTGCTTCTCTAATCCTCCAATCTCCCAGCGGCAACCAGTCACCCTTTGAGACTCCCCGGCCCCGCTCGGGAGCCCTGTGCGCCTTCCCTTCTCCCACATGCCTCTGTCCTCACTGCTGTCCTGCATTCTCCCTGACCACGCATGACTTCCAGCGCTCTGAGGTGCGGTAGCCACAGGCACAGCCACTCTGCGTCGGCGATCGGCGCCGGCTGCGTTGGCCCCAGACCTGTGCCAGCTTGGAGCCTCCTCTGGGTTCCACCAGCTAGTATTTGCCATGTTGGAGCCATTTGTTAGGACTGGGGGAGGACAGCCATGATGGACGCAAAGTGCTGGCCAGTGGGGGGCCAGGTGTGGAGCTGGCGCCGCTCATGGTGTGGTCAAGAGAGCTGAGCGGACGTAGGCAGGAGCCCCCAGGCGGGGAGAGGACTCTGGAAGGGAAGCTGAGGGGTGTTTCCTCCTGGGGTGTTCCTGAGCGGGGGCGTGTCCTCCCTGTCGGGGTTGCTGCCTCAGCAAGCTGGTGAAGGGCACAGTGAAGCTCAGTCTCTGTCTCTTGGTGCCTTGGCCTAGCCTCTCCAGTGTTGTCCACAGTGTTCTCTGTGACAACACTGCCCCTGCCCAGTGACATTCAGGGATCCTGGGGCAACTAATCCTGCCCTTCCGGGGGCCCCAGCACCAGGCAGAGCCCTGGCTTCATATCAGCCCTGCTGGCAAAGCCCAACTCTCTGAAGAGGGGAAGGGAAAACAGGACCTCGCACAGGGCGGGTCTTGTCAGGTCCCTGAGCCGCGGGACTCATGCCATATGGCCTGGCTCGCTCCCCTGCACCCCTTGTATCCACCTCATGCTACCAGGTTGTCCATGCCCACCGCTCTCTTCCCCTTCATGAGGGTCCTCAAAGCCACCTCCCACTCTGCCATTCGAGGGCCCTTTCCGTGAGGCTCATCTGACAATGCCAGTCCCCAGCGTAAAGCCAGATAGTGGCTACTCTTGCAGTGAAACCCTCTTTGCCTATTCCCACTAGTTCTCTAACAAAGCTTCCTCCCTTCAGCCACAAGCTTTCTATGCAGGCGACAGCTGTTTACCCCCTTGTTTTCCCGCCAAACCCTGCCCCATAGAACAAAGCCTTGCTCAGATTGTCCCTATATCCTGCCCCTCCCCAAACCCAACTTTCACTCCATGGAAGTCCAGTCTACCTCCCCTGCTATTTGTTTCCCACTTCCTTCTCAGAGGGCCTACTCTGTAATTTAGACAGCTGCAGATATGCCTTACCTCTCCTGCAGGACACAAAGAGACCCTTGAGGGCAGGGCCCTGCCAGCTGACAGCTCCCAACCCCAGCACAGGCCCAGGCCGAGGAAAGCACTGAGCTAGCTGTTGGGTGGACACATTTTGGGCTCATAGGCACCCACGTGCCTGCACTAAGGTACAAGCGGGTGTAGCCAGGCCTCTGCAGCAGTCCTAGATCTGTGGGTCTACAGGTGAGCCGCGCTGGGCTCCAGGCCATGGACTGGCTCTAGTCTGTTCCTTGTGCCCTCACCCAGGGACCCAGGCTACAGGCACAGAGGTCATCTAGCTCAAGCTCCTTACATGGTGACCTAAGAGCATGAGTGACACTAGAGTGAGTCCACTGAGAGCCTCTGCTCCAGTCGCACCCATGAGCTTCCATGGCCCAAGCCTCACGTCCACAGGAGCATGCACCACCCACACCAGGGAAGGGTACTGGTACAGCTCTACCACAGGAAGCAACTGGAGAACTGGGGACACATTCCAGCGAAATGTCACCTTCTGTCCCACTCAGAGACACGCAGGCTTGGTCTCCATCCTCTGAGGGGACATGTGGACCTGCTCAGCTTCCTTAACCTCCTCTGTATTCTGGTTCCTCAGCAGGACAATGGGGATAATAGTAATGCTTTTCAGAGGACTGGGCGAGTGTAATAGTCAAACAACTCATGGCATATCCTGAGCTGCTACTGACTTCCTGACCACCACCAGCACCACCCCCTCATCATTATCATCACCCAGCACAGTGATAGTTCTCAGTGCCCCCAACCCCAGGTGCACTAGCATGGAGAGTAAACAAGTGCACACACACACACACACACACACACACACACACACACAGGCTGACTAACCAGCAACCACTGACCAAGTCTATGGATGGATTTTGTTTGACTCGAGGATGCTTGCAAACTACAGACATTTGACATAACAATCAAAATTTCCCAAGCTGTCTTCCCCAAGTGGGAAATAGAGAATCGGTAACATCGCCTAGAGAGAAGGAAGTTGGGAGGGTCCCGATGGAAGCAGGGAGAAGGAGCCACTGTTCCTGAGCTGGTGGAAAGGCCGGATGCCTGGGAGGACAGGAGTGAAAGTGTCCCCAGAAGAGTGGGGTGCGCAAGGGCTTTGGGAGGACCTGCAGCCCTGCAAACTGGACTTAACAACAGGAGGGGGTGGTCTGCATGGGGGGTATGCAGGACAGGAGATTAATGAAGCAGAGAAAGTGAGCCAAGTAAGATCTTCTGAGAAGCTTGGGTAAGGGGAGAAAAAGGAGAAGGGACTAGGAGTGGGGTCTGCAATTCAAAAGGTGTTCTTAAAACAGGAAAATGTTCACTTAAATGCTAATAAGAAAGATCCAGTAGGTGAAGAAGTTAAGAACGTAGGGAAGACAGGCGATCATGACCCTTACTGGGATGAGAATCAGCCATGTGCAGGGGAGGTATCTACCTTAAAAAGGAACAAGGACACCTGTGTGCCTGACCAGGGAAGGGCCCCCAATTAGCTGGTGGCTAAGATGAGCTGGGGTTCATTCACTCATGAACTCGCCCATGGATATTTACTATGCGTGGACTGTTTAGCAGGTAGAATTCTAACAAACAAAATAGACCAAAGACATTTACATTCTGGTTCTGGGAGGGAGACAATAAACAGAATAAGAAAATAGTTGTGGCATTTCTAGAAGGGTAGGTGCACCTTGAGCCTAAGTCAGGGAGGATGTGGAACACCCGGGGTGTGGTCTGCAGCACACACCGGGGGTCGGGCAGCCCCTGCAGAAGTTGGCATTTAGCAAAGACTAGTGGGCGTGAGGGAGCCCTATGCAAGGTAGGAGGAGAGGGCCTGTGCTAGTAGACCAAAGAGCGGTGCAGAGGGCTCGCAACAGCGCCCACCCTCTGTGCTAGGGGAACAGCAAGGAGGTGACAGGTTGGAGCCTAGTGAGCCAGGGCAGCACAAGGAGACCAGATTCCAGGAGCCACTGGGCCTGCATTCAGTAGGACTTTTCAGCTTCCCTTTGAGCAAAGTGAGGAGCTGTGGTGGGCTCCAATGAGGGGGTTGGCCCGATCTGCTTTGTGCCATGACAGGGTCCCTCTGGCTGTTGTGGAGAAAGACAGACCTGGAGCACGGTGGGCAGGTGGGGGACAAGAGACCAGGGAGGGCTGTTTCTGTTATCCAGGCAAGAGGTGGCTGGGACTGGGTGTAGGTGGTAGTGGAGTGAGAGGTGATGAATTCCTAGTGCCGCTTGAGGGCACAGCCACCGGGATCTGGAGGTGGCTTAGTGAAGAATGAAGTCACTGGTGCCAGGGAGGGGCTGCTCTGAACCACCGAGCTGAAGTTGCTGTTTCCCAAGCCGATGGTGACTGGGGATGACAGAGATCTGGGGGAGACGGAAAGGAAGGGTTACTGTTGGCCTGTGGAGTGTTATCAGTCTGTTAGACATCCCCACAGGGGGGCTCAATAAGTAGTAGGATGGGTATCTAAGTCCCAAGTCAGGAAACTGTCCAGGCTGGAGGTGCAGCTCTAGACGTCATTCTGTGTAGGGTGAGGAAAGCCACAAGCCCCACTGAGACCTCAGGGATGTGAGTGGAGGCAGAGGAAACGGAGGCCTGCGGCCCACAGCCGGGGGGTGGGGGGGAGCGGAGGGCAGGAGATGGCCCAGCCACGTAGACCCAGCAGGAAGGCAGGTGGGGCGGAGGAAGCCAGGAGTCCTAGAGGCCCAGGGGGTGTCAGATGCTGCTCAGACAAGAGCTGAGACATCACCCCCAATCTAACAGCAGGATGGAGGTGGCAATTTTGACATCAGCATTTCAGAGACTGCTGAGTATGGAGTGGGCCCCTGGATATGGCAGGACCCTTCCTTCAGATTAAATGGGGTGCACTGTATCCTGCATGTGGGAGGGAGAAGGGAGGGGGTGCTCCTGCCGCAGCACAGAAGATGGATAGGTCAGTCTGAGAGTATCCAGGTAGACCCTAGGCCTATTCCTCCCACCATCCCACCCAGACCCCTGGGGGACAGGTGACCTGCTGGGGCCCTGGGTCCCATGGTCCCTCTAGCCCCTGTTCTCCTCTCAGCAGATGAGCCCACCTCCCCCAAGAAGCCGAAGAGCACTGTTGAGCCCCAGCCCGCTGGCATGGATTGTGAAGCCACCTCGCCACTGTCCTCCGAGTGGACCTCAGTGAGGTTCAGCCCTGGGGCAGACGCTGTTGGGCAGGATGTGCTGGCTGTGTGCGTCCTGGTTGACTGTGAGGACAGCAGGTATGGCCAGGCTGCCCGGGACGGGGGCAGCACTTGGATCTGCTCTCCTCTTGCGGGTAGAGGGACCTCTCTGGGCTCTTTCCTTCTTTGTCAAATGGGAACCGTGAGGATCTGAGAATGAGCATGTGACAAGGAGCAAGGCCCAGCACACAGAGAGAGGGTCGAGGCTCTGGCCCCACTGTCTTCTCCCAGGGATGCTTGTCATGCAGGCTGCAGTGAGGGATCATGATGGCAGTGAGAAGGCCAGGATGGGCAGGGGAGAGCACGGGGTCGGGGTGGGAATCCCAGGAGTCCCAGAGCCTCACGGGTGCTTCTCCCGATGCTGGCCTCACCACCTGCATCAGACGCCATTTATTAGAAGTGCAGGATCCAGGACTCTTGCAGACACCCTGGTTCGTTCAGGAAGCTGAGCGCCTGCAAGTACGGCTTGCTGAGTAATTCCCTGACTGTGAGCATTTAGCAGACACCAGCGCTAGGCAAAGCCCCTGCTCTTGCTCATGTTGCGTTGAGTAGACTGCAAGTAAGCAAGGGAGCATGTCACAAGAAAAACACCACAGCACATGTGTGCCAGGTCAGAGAAGTAAAGGTGTGGTATAAAGTGACAGGTCCTCAGCCTTAGACTGGGCGGCCACAAAAGGGTCTATGTTGGGCTGGGGAGATAGCTCAGCAGCTGAAGCACCTGCCTGGCAAGTGCAAGGTCCTGAGCTTGATTCCCCAGGACCTCAAAAAAAAAAAAAAAAAAAAGGATTTATGTCAGTTATCAATTCTCACAATAATGTAGAGTAACAAATCAGCCCCAAAGAAAAAGCGGGAACCCACCTGTGATGCCCTGTGCAGTCTGGCGGGCAGCGAAGGCTGTGGTGGCCTTACCTGAGTTCTGCTTTCTGATCACAGCTGGCTGTCAGCTGGGGCAACAGAGAGCTATTGTACCAGGAGACTCACCCTCCATCCAGAAGCCTGAGATTATTCAATGGGGGACCTGTACCCCATTTTTCTCTACTTGAATTCCTGCCAATTACTCACAGCCACACTAAATGTTTACTCTAGAATGTGTTTCTAACCTCCTACCCATTTCGAGGAGGAAAGTAGTTTCTCAGAACCTGAAGCTTTAGGCCCAAGCGTGTACGTATTTGGCTCCGCAGAGGTTGGAAGCCATCCTTGGGGAAGGGACAAGTTGTCTATTGATGTCTGCCCAGATTTTCCTCCACCTGGATCCACATTGCGTCAGTCTTCTTGGGCTGCCATGACAAGGTACCCAGACTGCCACACAAACATCAGACATTGATTTCCTCACAGCTCTGAAGGCTGTTGGCTCCTAGGCAGGGCCACAAGGCAGGCCCTGCTCTGGCTTCTCTCCTTAGCCTGAATGTCTTCCTGTTTCCCTTCTAGTCATGTCTGTGTCCAAATTTTCTCCACTATTGGTCGACCTTCCCATTGCTGGGACATGATATCTGACACCTACAACTTCAAAGAGAAGTTTCCTTTGGCTTACGGTTCGGGGAATTCAGTCCCTGGTTGGCTAGCTCCAAGGCTAGCATGTGAACACATGTTGGAAGAAAGCTGCTCACTGCATAGCACCAGAAGCAGAGCAGGAAGGGAAGAGCTGGGAGGGAGACACGCCCCCAAGCGCCTGCGCCCAGGGACCCAGCTCGTCTAGCCCGGACCTTAACAGCGCTTTCAGCTTTGATAGCATCAACATAGCCATCCACTGCTGAGGAGAGAGGCCCATGATCCAGCTGTTCAAAAGTCCCACTCTGAACACATGAGGCTCCGAGGGGACACCCAAGCCATAGAACTCCTCTTATAGGGATATCAGTCACAGAGGATGAGGTCCTACCCTAGTGGCTTCACTTTTATTTAATTACCTCTTTACGGACCCTATCTCTAAATGCAATTACATTCTGAAGTTCTGGGGCGAAGACCCCAGCATCTGAATTTGGGGGATATAATTCAGCCCATCACGAAGTCCAGGGCTGGAGCCTAAGTAGAGACAAGCCAAACCTCGCTCCAGATCCCCAGCTCTGTGGGAGGCTGTGAGGGGTCAGAGACAGGGCAGGAGGTGCTAAGACTGCTGGCTCAGCCCCTTTCCTCCTTCTTCCAGCTCTGACAGAGACTCTGACCATGGTGACAGTGAGAGCCCCAGCCCCAAGCCCTATGAAGAGAGGCCATGGCAGCCAGAATTCTTGCCACTATCAAAGCCCCTCTTCCGGCACAGCTCCCTGAGGGAGCCCCTCGTCAGGACGGCCTCTCCACGTGACCCTGAGGAGCCACATGCTGGGCATGGTGAGCAGAAGGGCCACCATCTTTCTTTCTGGGACAGTTGGGTGCAGCAGAACCTCTCGTGTCCATATTTTCCTCATGGGGGCTCAGGTGATGGGTGGGGGTGCCTTCAGGTCAGAGTTCACAGCACAAGTGCACATGAGGGGTGTGGGCCCAGGCCTGGCACCCTTCTCATGAGAGGCTTTGGAGTCCTGAGTGAGGAGGCCTCAGTGGGGCCTGGGCAATAGGTAACAATAGGCAGGCCCATTCACTCCAGCCTGGAGCAGCCTCCCTCCAGCCTCTTTCCTGGGTATCCCTTCAGGAGCCCCTCCAGCACACCAAAGAAAGAATGTGGGCCTGGTCAACTCAGTCTCCTGGGACTAGTGGGTACATCAAGGGACACATGGGGTTTATGGGAAACACCCAAGGCTCCCCTACCCAGTAGAGTGCACTTGCAGGGAGTACCTGGATGTCTCCTACACGTGGCCGCATTCCAGCCCAGGTAGGTCCTACGACACAGGCATGTGGAGCCTCTTTTGTTAGAACAAACAGACTGTGTTTCCCTGAGGTCTCAGCCAGTGAGTAAACAGCGCAGCCTGGGGCGGGTGATGCCACCCCCTAAACTCTGGCCTACTTAGAATGAGTTGCCTTTAGCAACCCAGCTTGTCTTAAAGAAGGTGGTCTGGAATTGAAGGTTTTGATTCAGTCAGCTGCCCTTGTGACCAAATCATCTGATTCCGGGAGGGCCCAGACAGAGAGGCTAAGAGTCTTAAGGACCTTTAGCACCACCCCGGTTGCCCCATGCAACCTGGAACTGAGCTTGTCCTGCACCACCCTCTGGTGGCCAAGAGCAGAATCTTCCCCCCTGTCCTTTGCCAGTAATGCTTTCCCAGGAAGACCAGAGTTGGGACCAGAAGAACTTATGAAACATTTTTAAGTCCTGGAAATTCTGAATTTATCTTCCATGTGGGCCTTTTTAAATAAGAGGGCAAGTTGTTATACAGCACATTTAAATTACTACCTTCAGGGCTGTCCACAAAGGCTCAGTCCAGGCAGGGAGCAGGCCTTGCCTCAGGTCGTAACTTAGCCTTATGTCTCTCTGGGCTCTGGAGGTCCTGCTCACGGTGTGAAGCCCACCTGTCCCCATCCCCTCTTCCTGTTTTTCCTCTTTGCTGCTATGGAATGTTAGACAACTTACAAGGTCGATCTAAATCAAAATGATAAGACGTATCATGTATGTATGAACAGTGAAGTCTCAGAGTGGAAGTTAGCAAAGCCAGCTCAGGAGGCATGGACTCCGGAGAAGTGGGTCCCACTTCTAAATAGCCCATGTTCAGATGCGAACCCAGACCCTTATTATCCTCATTGTTCAAGAGGAAAAAAATATGTATTTGGTACGTTTCTGAGGACACATAACTTTCCTCTTAGAGCCTAGGTCTGTAGGAAGTTTGCAGCTTGAGTGTTGATTAGATGATGCTGAGGGATGTATTAGATCATGTCTTAAACCATGACTCCTCTGAGAACCCAGCCATCCTTTCCCAGTGGCTGCTCCTTACAGCCCTGCCTTGGCAGCAGGTGCAGGCCTGACAGCAAGTCATGACTTGGTGAGCTGTGGGCCTGGGCTGCACAAACGAAGGCCGCTGGGCCAAAGCATTCAGTTTCTGACCGTCTCTTTAACCCTAACATAAAATACCGAGCAGATGAAGAAGTGGGTAGGCTGTGCGACTTCCATACAATCCTTTGCTGATTTCCTGTTTTTTTTTTCAATTTGGGGGTTTGATAGTTGAGAGGCTGCACTACAAGGTTGAAATCTCTGGCACAGGCCCAAGTGCTGTTTGTGGGGAGGTCATTGCTCTCCCAAATAATGCAGGGTTGACTCTGAGCCATGGTTCTCCCCTGGAGTGATGTCTCAGAAGTGGGCTTAAAAAAGGCCAGACCAGGGCATTGCCGGACCTGGTTTGTGCCTGTGCTCCTAGCAGCTTATCCCTGATGGCTCAAAGAAGGAAACAAGGTCAAGAGATGAATAGATAAACAGAAGTAGCCAATCCACTCAGAGGATGTTATTCAACCTTCGAAGAGCATGAAATTTTGACCTATGATACACTACAAATGACCTCTGCAGACATGCGTGCAGTGACACTGTGCGAAGCTGGGCCTGAAGGGCCTATAGCCGGTGACTGGAGGAGTCAAATTCATAGATAACGGGAATGAGCAGCGGTCACCAAGGCTGGAGGGGGAAGGGAATGGGGTCACTCTTAGTGAGTAGAGAGCTTCTGTTTGGAATGGGGAGAAGCTCTGGAGGTGGGTGCCGCCCATCGCTGTTGTACAGTAGTGATGGCTGTACAACAGTGTGAGCTACTTGTCGCCATTGAGATCCATGGCTTCACGATTTGCACAGCCTCAGAGCAGATGAACACAAGGGAAGGGCGGCCTGCATGCAAGCTCCACATCTCCCCCCCACACACACACACACACACACACCGTCTTGCTTTATCTACTTCTTTTTGGTTGTTCCCAAATTGTAGTTGTTTGTAAAACACAGGTAAATGCTTAAGGAGTGGCTTAATGGTACTTTATATGGCACATGCATTTTGCCACCACTAAGCAAGGGTTGCCTGGACTGCCTCCGTACCTCAGAGAACCTCTAACGTCCTTGAAGTTCTACGACACACAGCATGGCCAAGACCCATGGGCATGACCCATAACTCACGCCGTAGGGCACCCTCCCCTGAAACATCTGTGTGATGGTTTTCCATTGTCATGACAAAATGCCCAAGATAAATGACTCATATGGAGGGAAGACTTATTTTGGCTCAGGGTTCCAGAGATTTTATCCCATGGTCTCTTGGTCCAATGCATTTGGGCCCGGAGAACACATTGTGGTGAAGCACACAGTGAAGAAGACTGCTCTATCTACTCTGGGCATCCAGGAAGTGGGAAGGAAAGAAGGAGAGAACCAGGGTCTTAGTAGCCCCTCAAAACAATGCCCTCACTTCCTCCTCCATCCCATCTCCTAAATGTTCTTCCACTACCTCCCAATAGCACAATGGTAGGTGACCAAATCTTTAGGTCCCCTTTGGGGACCATTGAAAATCCAAACCATAAGCCAATCCAGTTCAGGGATTCTTTTAAATCTTACTTGAAAGGCATATTCTGGGGTCTGCCATGAGACTCAAAGTCCTCAAGGGTCTGCATTGGGTGTGAGCAGCCGGGATTGCCCAGTGCAGATGGGCACATCTCAAACTTCAGGAATCAAAGAAGAGCAGCTTCCTGAAGGATCTGCTGGAGAGAATCAATCACGGTGTGTGTGCCCAAGCAGCTAAGTGGATGCATCTAGTGCATTGGATTCTTGAACCAAAACCAATTAGATTTAGGAGGGCAATCTGCCCCCAAATTATTCTGGCATGGAAGAATTGGTACTTATCCATTTTTTTCTGGCAATAATTTGATAACAGGATGGCCCAATGGCATATGGAGGACACCACTCATTTGTAACAATAAAATGAGATCACCAGCACCATATGGCAAAATTTTTACCCTCCTTTTCCTTCAGCAGTAGGTCATGTACTGAGCCCTCCACAAGTACTTCTTTAAAGTAAATACCAAATGAATAAATACACAGGAAAGCATAGCTGAAAGAAGGGAACCAGCCCAGCTTTATGCTGCTCCGAATTACTAGATCAGATCTCTACTTACTCACCCTATTGTTCCTGTTGTGGTAAGAACATGTGTGTGTGTGTGTGTGTGTGTGTGTGTGCTCCATAAACACCAGCAATGGAAAAATCTTTCATGAACTGTAGCCACTTTTAATAAGTTCCATTCCACAAAATCAAAAGTGGAGGAGGAGCAATCCAAGCTATAAGAACTCTGATACTTTTGTGAGTGATTTCCTCATTAGGTGTCAGGAGGAAGTGACTGCATAAATTCAGCTTGCCCTCATGGAAAACTCACAGCTTGGGAAACCAAGCATACACCTTGGTGGGCTGTTCCTCTGGCCACAGGCACCCATCCACACCGGCTCCTCCTAGACCCTGGAACTTGAGAGGAACACTGTAGGACTGGCGACCCACTGGGCCTGTCTGACACAAAGCCCCCCTGCTAGGCAAAGGGAGGAGGGACCCAAGCATCCAAGGAGGCCAGGATCTTGTTCTAAGAAAAGGAAGGACACAAAGTGGACATCGGGAAGTGCAGAGGTTGGGACTCACACTGGCTCTGCCTGGATTCAGGGAGCTCTGTGTCACACCTTCCCTGTCCCCTTCTCCCTCACCCAGATTCCACATACACCCTCATAGTGCCCGGATGTGCAGTATGATGCCTATTTTTTTCTCTCTCTCCAGCTGTGATGGAGGGATGGGGCCTGAGATGGTATCTGCAAGTGCTGCCTGGCAACAGGGTGTATTTGGACCCCACAGCCCACTCTCAAGCTTCAAGAGCCAAAACTCATTTTCTCCCACATCCAGCATTCATTTTGCTAAGCTAATTTTCAAGGCACAGCTGGGCAGAGGGCTGTCAGTGGGAGTTATACAATGTCCTACAAATGCGTTTCCAACGGACCAGGCCATGAGGATGCAGCCCAGTGATGGATTATGCAGCAGCTCAGTTAGAACAAGTTTCCAGCCTTTGAGGGGATCTGGGGTGAGGAAGGGAAGCAGAGGATAACTTGCTGCAGCTTCCTGGCTCTAGTCAGCACAGCTCCAGTTTTAATCTGTTACATGTATGGAAGATTGCCGGGAGGCCTCAAGACCTTGCACTTGCCAGGCAGGCGCCTACACTGCTGAGCTGTCTCCCCAGCCCAAGGCCACGGCTTTATAGAATGGTTTGGACACAAATGAATAGGTGAAGAGATGTGTGGATATTGTCTCAGTCCCTATCTTATCAATGGGACAAAATCCCAGCACCCATCGCTTAGAAGAGGAGATGCTTGTTTTGTCTCATAGATTCAGAAGGTTCTACCCAAGGTCGTCAGGCCCAAATGCAGGCATGATGTGGTAGAAGGACCTGGATTCAGGGAAAGCTACTCATGTCATAGCGATCAGGAAGCAGAGTAAAAAGGAGGGACAGAGGAGAGAGCCACCCCCTTGCAGGTCACACACACAAGTGGCCACCTCTTCTGCCCAGGCCCCGCTGTCAGTGATCAGCTAGCCATCACAGCACCCCACGATCGGTAACCTTCCAAAAGCCCTGCCTCTGAACACATGAGGATTCAACCCTAACACATGCACATACATGCATGCATGTAGACATATGTTTGTGTCTACACGTTTGCGTGGACACCTGCATGCATGAGGGGCTTATTTGTGGTCCACGATTGAGAATGTTAGCTGAGTTATTGGAGGCACTTTCCAACAGAGGGCAGTACCTGTACCAAGGCAAGTTCTCAAGAGACGTTTGATGAATAATGAATGAAAAAAGAGGGGCAGGGGGGAGGACGTGTGGTGGGAGGGAAAGAAAGGGCTCAGCCAGTTCTGATTGATCATTCAGCCTCTCACTCTTGGTAAAGGGGCAAAATTTGTGGGGGGAAAATGTCTCTATATTCTGCCAATTTAAAGGAATAAACTGGTTCTGGTTCTTTCTCTATCTTCCCTGCCGCTGTTTTTTCCACAACAGCTCCGCAACGGGCCAGCAGCTTCCAGGCTCCAAACAAACACCAGAGCTGGAGAAAATTCCCCTCAAGTGAGTCACACGCTCTCCGCTCCCCCAGAGTGGGTGGGGCGGGTGGGCAGGAGCCGTCTGGTTCATTCTCGGCTCTTATCATTCCTTACATGGTATCTTCTCCGAATGGCCTCCAGGATGTGAGGGGCAAGGGGCAACGAAAGGAGGTTGCCTTGATTTCTGCTGGTGACACCAGGAAGCAATCACCTATGGGCTTGGGACCTTTCCATCCCGCTCTGCCCCCTCCTCTGGGGCTGTGAAACCCTAAGGTTCTTCTACATGACACTGGTGGAAGGGAACGTAGCAAGCATGACAAACACGAAGAGGGATCCAAGGGTCGGCCTGGGGACTGTGTATTGATTGGATTCTGTGCGCAGGAGTTGGGCTGGGGTGGCTGGGCTGTCAGCTTTTTGGATCTTGCAGTTGGAGGCAATTGTCTCCTGTAATTGTAGGGAGGGACAGACTGACAGACAGACAGACAGACTCACTCACTCACTCACTCACTTATCCACATACACACCTCAGCACACACGGGCTGCTTTTTCTGAGCCGACTTCGTCCTAGGCAGAGCAGCGCAGGGCGGGGACCAGGGCTCCCACGAGGGGGCGCGGTGCCGCGCACACAGGCGCAGGCCTTGAGGTTGGCCCACGTTGCGGGGAGGGAGGGTGGAGAAGCAGTGACTTGAGTGGAAATTACCTGGAGGCCCTGAGCTGCGGGACGGGACCCCATCCCACTCTGAGCCCCTGACCCCACACTGTCCCCACGGTCTGCGGAGAGCGAGGGGTACCCTCGGGCTCTGCCCGTTTCCCCCACGGGCGCTGCTGCTGGAAGTGAGCCCTGATTTCCTAACTTCTGAGTCACCGCTGACTCCCGGCCAGTGAGTCATTCTCCTGCCAACCCAGACCCGCCAGCCCTCGCTGGGTCAGGCCAGGACAGGGGTCAGCTCTGGCGCTGGAGCAGCGCTGCACGCAGGGACCGGCCACTGCCGGTGAGCCATCTACAGCGATCGGCGCTGGAAGAGCTGACAGCCCCGGGCGGTGAGCGGGAGGACGGAGGGAACTGAAATTCCTTCCACCTGTCCTGTCTCAGTGCCCTGCCCCAGCCCGTCCTAGGGCTCTGAAGTCCTAGCTCCGGGGAGGTCCTTGTGCGGTGGACCAGAGTCTGTAGCGTGATCTGGCCTAGAGCAAGCTCCCAGTCCTTTGTTCGGAGAAGGAATGAATTAACGAAGGAATCAACCAGGAAGGAACATGCTTGGTAGGTGGTAGGTAGGACGGAGGCAAATAGAGCTCGTGACCTGCACGCTTCTGACCCCAGAGGGCGCTCCAAGACTTCACAAGGGATTTGAGCCTCGCAGGGCCTCAAACGTTGTAGGAAACAGCACCCTGGAATGCCAGCCCAGAGCTGAGCACCACCAGAGACACCTTTCTGCTAGTTTCATTTCACACAAGAGGAAAACCCAGCGGGCCAAGCTGGTTCTATAAGTATGAAGCAGACCATGGTCACTCCCCTGGCTGACCATGCTGGCCAGAATACCCTTCAGGGGGAAAAGGTCACTATTGTCAGAGGGCACAAAAGGAGGAAGCACCCACATTTGACCCAAAGGCTGCTGGAGACACTCCCTGTGGAAATGGCCAGGACTCTCCATCACCTGTCAGCTGGGCTCCAGCTCACTTGTCCCTCCCCAGAGGGGTTCCTTCCACCACCGTGGCTGGGATGGCATCCCAGGGATAAAAGCTTGGCCTTCCCACCTCCTCAAGCCCTCCACAAGCGCCATCTGTAATTCAGTGCTTAGGGACACGGGTGGAGAGAGACCCTGCTGGCCAGGAAGGATTAAAGAAAGGAGAAACCGGGATCATGACCTTGGGTGCTCTGGCTTTTCTGTCAGGCTTGCATCCCAAGGTGTCCCTAGCTGGGTGTCATAAGGTTCTGAGACTCCTCAGAGAAACAAAAGGCAGTCTGTGAAGCCCACATGACTTCTGAGACAAGTTGAGCTTGATTCAGAAGATGGCAGGGAGAGGACAATGAGGGGGCGAAAAAGAGGGAGAGAAGGAATTTGGCAGGAATTTGGCAAGCTGAGGACAGGAAGCAAGGCAACAACTGACTCACAACTTTTGCCTTTTTAGGCTTGAACCATCTCATTGTGGGCTGAGATGAGGGTGTGGGTACTGGGAGGCAGGCCAGCCACCTCCCCCACAGCAGCTCCTGGCAGCCAGTGGCTTCTCTCAGCAGTGCCTTCTTGCCCACCCTTCCATCAAATCTGTCGCCTGGAGTTACCTTTTCCTTCAGAAGCATCCAGGTGCTTCCTGCTGGGAGCTTGTTAACTCTATGTATGTGGTAGCCATCTTGTCAGAACTTGGGTCTGAGGTGCCTGTGTTTGTGTGGGGAAGCAGGGCAGAATATTGAGAAACCACCAAAGTGGTTGTTGCCTCTGGAGGAAAGAGACTCCATGGAACTCCATGGGGGTCGATTTGCATTTGGCCTGGCCCATGCGAATCCCTGAGGAGGAATCTCTCATCCAAAGTGTTGAGGAAATTGGGCCTAGGACATTGTGTTGAGCTAAGAAGTGAGCCAAAATCTGAAGGTTGAACATCTTGGAGGGGAATCTGAATGGGTCAGCTGAGTGGCCAGAAGCCAGAAGTGGGAGCATCAGGCAAGAGAGCCTAGGTGGGCACAGTGGCTTTGGGGAATGTCTGGGAATACCAGTATGTACCACCACATTTCACAGAAAAGCTGGTAGGCTGAGGGTCAGACACTGAATGGGAACATCTGAAACACTATGTGGCATAATCTGAATCTAGTTGAATGTAGATGACTAGCTGAAATTGTCCACTATGGAGATAAAATACTTGAGATTTGGGGCTATGATGACTATGTACTTAAGGGGAAGAGGGATAGAGGAAAAAGGAGAAAGAGAAGAAGGAAGAGGAGGAAGAGAAGAGGAAAAGAAAGGGGGATGGGAGGACCTTATATCCTAAGAGATCCCACAGGATACCACTGTCACAATTCTGCTCTGAGAAAACCAGATGGTCCCCGGTCCCAGCCATGTTCTTTTCACATATATATCTGAGCTCTGGTTGTTCCCTGACCAACTGGAGATTGGCATGGGTCCCATTCCACATGCATCAAAGATGTGATATTTATGATCCCCTCCCCGTGTTCCCTTAAAGTGCCAGCTACACACTTGTCTGAGGGCCTCTTGGGCACACGTGAGAGGAAGACTGCATCCCATCAGTAGCTCTATCCTGGCCGTGCCCACAGCTAATGGGACAGCCCTGGCATTTGTGGGAAGAAACCTCAGAGGTTCATTGATGGAATGGTTTAATGCCACCCCAGTCTCCAACCAGCTTGGCTTTGGGGAAACTTTAGAGGTAGATGTCCATTTCTGGGAAGCACTCTGAAGATGCAGGCCATGACTCTGTCAGGAACATTCCCACAAGAAATGAAACACTATTGCCTGGAGTCTCCTTTTCCTCACGGGACCCTTTCTCGGGCTTTGGCCCCTTCCTCCATGTCCTCAGAATCAGTTTTTGACATCTGTTCCCTCCAGGCACTGCTCGGAGAACTAGAGCTTCAAACTCACAGCCTCCCCTTTTCATGATAACCCAGCAGCTCTGTAATGGAGAATGTGTCGTTTCCTTGGTAGATCGAACTCCAGCAAACAACAGAACTCTGTCGCCTCCCAAGGAATCTTCTCCTCTCCCTCTGTCTTCATGGTCTTCTCCTTCATCTTCCTTGCCATCTTCTTCACCTTCCGCCAGTGTTCCTGGGCACCCTCTGGACCGTTCTTCTCCACCTCAGGTGAGTCCCCCTGCAGGCCAGGCACAGGTGTCAGGCAGGTGAGCTGCTTGTGCTCCTCCTTCCCTCCCTCCACAATGAAATGTGGATTCTGAGGGCTCTTAGGCCTCCCCAGTGCAAGGCTCTGTCAAGGCCCCACTCCAGGCCTTGTGTACACATGCCTTTCAGAGAAGCCTGTCCTGCTTCCTCTCTACTACAGCCAAGCCCACGGCCACACACCCCCCCAGTAGCCTGCGGGAGGGAGACTCTGCTGGATGTTGGGATGCCGACTCTAGAACTTGTGCTCTGACTGTAGGAAACACACAGAGCACTAGGAAGGATGCCAGGCACTGGTGTGCAAAAGCCTTTACAAAAGCAAGTGTCATCCCTGACATGTATGGTTAGACTCTTGCCTTTCATCTGTATCTACTGGGTCTCCATTACCTGCTAGGCCAGTGCCAGGATCTGGGAAGTAGTCTGAAGACAGAAAAGATGGGCGAGGTCCCCATTCCATAAGTGTATCTTGGGTCCCAGAGCTCTTGACAGGGCATAGCTCCTCCTGCCAGTGTTCACTTCCATTCTTTGTTTGCTAAGAGCCAGGCTCTTGCACGGTGGGGATGGCTTTCTCTGTGATACAATGTGTAACATTTAGATTTTTTTTGGCGGAATCAGGGATTGAACTCAGGCCCTTGAGCTTGCCAGGGAAGCGCTTATTCTACTGAGCCATCTCCCCAGCCCCTTGTGTGACCTTTAGAAAGGTCCTTGTAGTTTCTTATGGCCATCCTCCACCACTGCAGTTCCAACCCAGAAGGATGAGAGTCTCACTTACCCTGATGGCCTCCAAGCAATATGCTTTGGCTTCTTGGCTGGCAGAGGAACCCACCCACAAGATGAGGGGTGCCCTGAAGTCAGGACCACGCTTGGGCAAGACATGGGAGGTCTTGCTCAGAGGCCCCACTCACCCCCCCCCCAGGGCCTTGTTGACAGCGGTGCCCATGCCTTTGCCTCCCCTGGGCTTCCTACCCACCTAAGCAAGACCCAGGACAGCCTTCAATCAGAGTGGACTTGGGGGCTCCAGCCAGGTCCCAGTAGGTTCCAAGCAGACTTTTAGAGCAAAGAGCAGCCTTTGTGATTCTCAGGCAAAATTCCTTTTTAACTTTGATCTGGAGAAAATAAGCAGGGTAGGGATTGAGATTTGCCTCACCCATATAAATGAATACTGCAAAGTTTAAAATAAATGCTCTTTCTGCTGTCCCCTCTAGGTAGCAGCATACAACCCCCACCCTCAAGTCTCTGGAGATTGCCGCAGTCCTTCTACCCCAATCTTTCTCAGGAGAGCTAAAAGCCAAGGGGTACCCAAGGGAATGCCTCTGTATCTACCTCACGGTGAGGTGCTGGAGCGAGCCGAGTATTGCCTGGTGAGCCCTGGGGGAGAGAGCCTCGAAAGCCCGGTGGAGTTGGCTTCTGGGGGGTGCCGGGAAGCAGCGGCTCTTCCTGGGGGTGCCCCAAGCAGCCACAGCGCCCCAGGCCTCACTGCGGGGAAAGACAGGTCCTTGGCAGGCCAAGGGCAATCTCTCAGGGCAGAAGAGGACCCAGGAGAAGGCAGTACTGGAGCCACGAGGGGACAGGGGGGTGGGTCTGCGCGGGCAGAGAGAACGCCAAAGCTGAAGAAATTAGCTCTCACTTTGGAGCAGAAGACCATGTTGCTGGACTGGAATGACTCCTTCCCCGAGAGCGCGGCCCTCCAGCGGGACGGGCAAGTTTCCCCGGAGAGGGCTAGGAATGGCAGCGCAGGCTCAGTGCTGAGGGCAGCGCGCCCCTCGAGCCTCCCTCAGGCTCAGAAAGAGGCACCAGCAACCCAGACAGAGCCCCCCCAGGGGCCGCGGACCCCAGCTGTGCAGGCCCCTGCGGAGCAGAGCGTGCCCCCGCCCAGGTCACCCCTGCGGCTCATTACAAACGCCATCCGGAGGTCCTTGGACCAGTTCCTCCACAACTCAGACGGTGGCAAGAAGGCCTGGGCCAAACCAGAATCGAAAACTTTGCTCCCGGGCCAGGCCTACACCTTTCCCAGCTCGCTCAGCCTGCAGAAACTTGGTTCTAATAAAGACGGCAACCTGCAGTCCCCTAGCAAAAACGCGGCCAGCAGGGCCTCCACCTTCTTCTCCCTGGGCTCCCCAGCTCCCAGCGCGGCCCAGTCCTCGGACCCTCGCGCTCCTGACGCTGCCCATAGTTCGCCCAGCAAGCCATCTACGCTGTTTTCCACATTCGCTTTCCCACCCTGCAGCAAGACTGAAGGTGTCCCCGCACTCCTGCAGAATGGGGAGTTGAGAGAGACCTCTGCAGATGCTGCCAGGGCTGCAAAGAAAAGAACCTCATTATTTTCCTCCCTCCGAGCCAAAGACAAGTCCTATGAGAGTTTCCTCCAAGAATCCAAACAAAGGAAAGACCTCAGGGATCTCTTCAGCAGCTCCAAGGGGAGGGTGCTGTCTGGGAACAGTGCCCCATCCCGGGAGAACAGGGCGCAGCCCTTCAGAAGCGCCTCCTTGACGTGGGTGGACCGTCCTCCGCCTCCCGCGGGGCTCGCAGGTAAGCGGCTCTCCACTAACACCCGCCCTGCTGGGCAGTTAGCTACCCTCGCTGGATTGGCGAGCAGGCATCTTTCCTGTTGGTTTGATTCTCCAATTAAATTCTGATACAAGGAGAAAAACTCAAAGTTGATAATTTTCGAATCATACAAAATAATTAAAGAATTGAAATTGTTATAGAAAATCTTGAATCGAGTATGACTATAACACTTTCCCACTCACAACTATATGACTATAGTTACACATCAAATTCTGCATCTTACTGGGGAGATAGCGGAGCAGTGCCTGCCTGGCAAGCATAAGGTCCTGAGTTCAATTTCAGGTACCAGAACAAAACAAATGCTACAACTTTTAAAAAATAGACATTATGTCCTTTCTATTATGTTAATTACCATTTAGTGCACATAAATGTGTTTAATAAAATGTCCTATTTTGTAGATAACTTGTCATTTAATGAACTACTTACTGTTTATGTATATATATATATATTTGAATATATATTGAGCATATTTGTGCCTTAAGTTTGGTGTTGAATGAAATTTTTTGTGCATAAGTTTTTTCTTTCCTTTGAATTACTGGCCTAAACATTTTTCTGTGCATTTGGTTATCAATGGAAATGCCTTTTACACTGAAATCTGACTCATTTTTTAAAATTTGAAATTAATTAATATGCCAGAGCCAGAATAATCAGTATGGAAATACCTAATAAAAAGGCAAATGTATTCTCTCATTGTTTCTCCACCTTCTCAAAGATTTGATATATTCCCTTAGAGTCAGGTTAGCTAAATATTCACGTGACTTTTTTCTTGTTATTTGATGGCTTTTTTCTTTTTAATTTTTGGGGCCAGTTAGATAACTCAGTGATTTAAGGAGGGGACTGAAGTTCAATCCCCAGCACCACCACATGCTGTGCCAGCCCTGCATCAGGGTGGGCTGAGCTGGCCCCCCTCAAAAAAAAAAGGAAAACCTAATTTTTTAAAAATTAATTTTATTGGGAAACAAATAGCAATGACGAAGTTTCAAAACTGATTAGTAGGACAGTTTCAATAATTAACACATTGCATATTATTGTCTTTGTAGTGGTTGTTCATAGTACAAGATGCAGACATGATATCCTGTCCACAAACACTATTCGTACAAATCTTCTCATTGAAATAAGAGAAAGTAGCTGTA